AATATTTATATCTGATATAGTACAATAGTTCCTGATAGTTTTAACATATATAGACAACCGTTTCTGATATTCATACCTTATAAAACCTTCATTTCGTTATATTTATACCGCGTATAATATAGACATAGAAATTAATAGTGTAAAACACCGTAATGTTTACATGTTATATAGTACAATATTTCGTGATATTTATATTTTACATAGACAACAGTTCGTGATCGTTGTACTTTATATATTACAATAGTTTCTTATCCTTATATCAATATAAATATAATAGTACTGTCTGTTATCTGTTGTATGTCAATGTAACTACTTTTCAGGGTGTAGATGGATCTTCACCTAACTTCGCATGGAGGTTCATTTAGTCCATGCGGGCGTACATAAAAATTTTCAGTTTTGCATTTTGGGTTTTGCGGATTTTATGGCATTTTTTACCACTACTTCGCCCCCTGGAGTTGTATCTTCACTAAATGTGGTATGGAGGTTCATTGGGTCGATGGAGAGATACATACAAACTTTCAGTTTTGCATTTTTCGTAGTGCGGTTTTCATGTTTTTTTTTACCACTACTTTGCCTCCTTAAGATGGATCTTCACCAAATTTGGCATGAAGATTTGTTGGATCCATGTGAAGATACATGCAAGATTGCGGCTTCATATTTTCTGTTTTGTTTTTATGGGCGTTTATTTCAATTACATATAAGGGAATTAACCTTTCATGTCCTAAGATAACCTTTCATTAATGATGAATTTACATAACTTTTATCCAGGGGATAGGTACTCCAGCTAGTGGTATAATAGTTCCTGATCCTTATATCTTATATAGTTCAGTATTTCCTAGGCTTTACTTTACTTTCCTTACTTCACATTACTTTCTTTATCTCAATAGTTTCTGAACTTTGTTTATTATCTTACTTAACTAAATAGTTCGTAAACGCTTTAGTTCATACACTACAATATAATACGTTTATTATAGCTCTATTGTAGACACATTTATATGGCGTGTTTATAATGTAAACATTTTCCCTCTTTAGCTGTAAACTTTATATTCATTTTTTTGAGATCCATGATTCTGGTGTGTTATTTAATACTCACCTGTTATTTAATATTTATTTCATAGCGCCTTTGTAAGCTTTCTCTTTTTATGATCTTTCGTCGCATATTTGTTTTCAATAATTGGAACTTTGAAATTTTATAAGAAAACAAACAAATATAAACGGATGAGTTCTATTTGTTTTATCGTTTAGAGTTTAATACACATCTTTGTTGATACAGTAATAGTCTACCTTTCCATCCACGGTAGATGTTAGAAATCCACGTACCTTTCTTATTTAAGCTAATCAAGGTATGAACTACATCCAACGTCATAATACAGGTGCTAGGCCTGCTGGAACGCTACGGATCTGAGAGCTGGTGTAGTAGTATTTGTCTGTACGGGACGAGGATTCGTCATTACGTGCTGCTCCAGGATAGCCACAGAAAGAAACCTTACAAGCTAACTCACTCCGTCCACCGGTAAGTATTCTTTGCCACAATAAGGTGACTTTTAATGTTTGAAGTTCATGATTGTTATTTTGAGTTATAAAGTACACTGCGTAAAATTAAGGTACTATATAACTAAATAAAATGTGTACCATTTAATGAAAATACCATTTGGAAGGTGATTTTCTTGGCGTTCTTTGTCCGACATCCTATTCTCAAACTATTTCATGTTCCCAATAATCCTATAAAACAAGGAGCAACTAGTTTTACGTTCAATCAAAATTGTTTTATGTACCCTTATAAAACCTTTAAAAAACCTTATTTGACTCAACTAGTTTCGATTTGCAAACGAGCTTATTTTATGCAACTCTATAAAACCCTTAGAAAATCTCGCAGAAGCTCAACAGTTGGGTATTCTTACTATTAAGGATGATTTCAACCGTTTTCCTAAAACATTTTTAGCGTTTCAGTCACTTGACAAAGCAAAAATCCCCCAGTAGCTCAGCTTAGAGCTTGTATCGCTAAAAATTGGGTTTCGATACACGCTGTGGGTTAAGCACAGATAGTCCGTCGTGTACCTATGTGCTTGATATCGAAATGAAAAATGAAAAATAATCTTCATGGATGTAAAAACCGATAGCGATAATTAAAATTATTATTAAAAAATAACTTTTAAAACTGAATTAGCTAGTGTTTAGAAGATACTCAGTTTATCAGAACACATTCACCAATACCTTTTATATACTAATTAAATATAATTATTTTGTATTTATTAACATGCAATTTAAATGTAATCAAATATGTATATGCTATTAAATAAAAGTTAACAAAACATAAATATTAGACAAATCATCCAGAAATAATCTAAAATACTCTACATTTCTGTGGAGGTAGCGATGAGAACTCATTTCTTCCCAGCAATACAAGTCTCTAAAGAATAAAGTAGGCAAACATACTTATGCATTTACTGTGTGACATAGAATTCAATACAGTAGAATAATGAAATTAAGTCACAGTCGAGCATTCTTTAGAAACTATATATATATAGATTAATAAATAAACAAAAAAGTTACAAAAAAGTTTCGATAATCCTGAAAAAAAGACATGTTTTAATTCGAAATTACTTCGATAATACTGAAGAAAGAAGACATATTTTAATTGGAAATTACTTCGACAAAACTGAAGAAATAAGACGTGTTTTAACTGGAAATTACTTCGATAATACTCAAGAAAGAAGACATGTTTTAATTCGAAATTACTTCAACAAAACTGAAGAAATAAGACATGTTTTAATTGGAAATTACTTCGATAATACTGAAGAAAGAAGACATGTTTTAATTGGAAATTGCTTCGATAATACTGAAAAAAGGAGACATGTTTTAATTCGAAATTACTTCGATAATACTGAAAAAAGGAGACATGTTTTAATTCGAAATTACTTCGATAATACTGAAGAAAGAAGACATGTTTTAATTGGAAATTACTTCGATAATACTGAAAAAGAAGACATGTTTTAATTGGAAATTACTTCGATAATACTGAAGAAAGAATACATGTTTTAATTGGAAAATACTTCGATAATACTGAAGAAAGAAGACATGTTTTAATTGGAAATTACTTCAATAATACCGAAGAAAGAAGACATGTTTTAATTGGAAATTACTTCGATAATACTGAAGAAAGAAGACATGTTTTAATTGGAAAGTACTTCGATAATACTGAAGAAAAAAGACATGTTTTAATTGGAAATTACTTCATAATACTGAAGAAAGAAGACATGTTTTAATTGGAAATTACTTCGATAATACTGAAGAAAGAAGACATGTTTTAATTGGAAAGTACTTCGATAATACTGAAGAAAGAAGACATGTTTTATATTGGAAATTACTTGGATAATACTGAAGAAAGAAGACATGTTTTAATTGGAAATTACTTCGATAATACTGAAGAAAGAAGACATGTTTTAATTGGAAATTACTTCGATAATACTGAAGAAAATTAAAAAACAAGCAAAAGAGAAAACTTAGATTGATATAAAAATCATTGGTTCTCTTTTCTATTAATTATGTCCATGAGAAAGAAAAAATTGTCTACATTAATACTTGTTGCTAAGGGAAGAATGTAGCCAAAAGCCAAATGTTTCCTCATACAATCAGTAAATTTCATAAAGGAATAAATCAGATTCCCCCTGCATCTACCCACTATCTAGTAAGACCACTGTTAAATTGCTGTTGGTGAGTGGCTGATGTAGCCAAAAGCCAAATGTTTCCTCATACAATCAGTAAATTTCATAAAGGAATAAATCAAATTCCCCCTGCATCTACCCACTATCTAGTAAGACCACTGTTAAATAGCTGTTGGTGAGTGGCTGATGTAGCCAAAAGCCAAATGTCTCTTCTACAATCAGTAAATTCTATAAAGGACTAAATCAGATTCCCCCTGTATCTATCTACCATCTAGTAAGACCACTGTTAAATAGCTGTTGGTGAGTGGATGATGTAGTCAAAAAACAAAATGCTTCGTCATATAATCAATGAATTCCATAAAGAATTAAACCAGATTCCCTCTGTATCTTAAACTAGATTCCCCTGTATCTACCTACTATCTAGAAAGACCATTGCCACAAGTTGGAGGGGTCAAGGACTTCTTTAGCGGAAGTACAGCGTTACTAAGACAAATACCTAAATCCTTAAAAAAATATTCTTAATCCTTCTTCGTAGACGATTAGGATCGTCTTGAGATTCGCAAGTCCCCGCAAAGATGAAATATATATATATATATATATATAGATATGTTGTAAACATTAAACTATATTTTGTGTCTCTTTTTGTCTTTTGATTTCTTTCTCGAGCAAGTAAGTAAATATTTTATCGATTATAATATACATTCTTCCAAAAGCTTAACAGATTGTGATAAATACAACTTATTTTAATTTTTTTTTCGGGGGGGGGGGGCTCCATTTTTCTGACCACGAGTAAGCAGAGTCTAGACCATCTGAAATAAGATCTTGAAGGTTGATTAAATGTAATTTAGTTACTTAATTTAAAAAAAAATACGAGTGGCAAATTTTCAAAGAATAAAGAAACATATATGAGTTATTCGTTTTTTCTTTTGTTCTTTCTGAAAGCCCCCCAGTGGCATAGTGATATGTCTCCGGACTTACAACACTAGAAACCGGGTTTCGATACCCGTGGTGGACAGAGCACATGTAGCTTTGTGCTTAACTTCAAAAACAAACCTTTCTGAAAATATTAATTCTACCTCAACAGCAGAGGGGTAATTCATATTTTCATTTTTGTACTTAAAAACATGATATTGAATCTGAGGGTTTCATTTATTAAACTAAAAGGCGTTATAGATAAGGCATTAAGTAAAGTCACATGACTAGAATATTGGTGTAGCATACAAGTGGACTTTAATCGCTAACGGCTTCAATGTTTGAATGAAAATAGTGATAAGATAAATTGCTTTTAGGATATATTTATTGTCAGTTTATTGAAGGTTGTTTTACTTGTGTTTCACGTAGCTTAGGATCATAATCTTTTCCAACTTCTGCTGGTCAGGTGAACAAGTTGCGACTGAAATGCTGATTATTCTGTGTTTAATTGTTGCCATGCTGGAACCTTGTTATTCTCTCGGGAATTTAAATGACACTTGTGTGGGAGACGAGACATTTCCTTCCTTTAAGTCCTACCAGCTGGACATTTCAGACCACAGTGACCAAAAAGCTATGAAAGGATGGTTCAACATGGTGAACAAGTTCATTAGGGCTGTCCAACCAAGTGACGAACTTCTAGGTAAGAAGGTTTATATTCTGATTTTTCAATAGGTTTATAAGGATTCGTTTTATATATATAATCACTATAAAGGAAAACTAAATACTAAATCTAGAAGGTGCCACTTACTATAACTTATGTATTATTTTTTTACTTTCATATACACACTGAGTAATTTCTAAATATAAAATCAGTACTATCTAAGTTACATATTAAAATGACATATTTAAGCCTGAGAAATATGGTTATTTCCTAAATAATATCGAAACTGATAAAAACAACAACATAATAATAACGATCAATCATACAAATCAAATTGCTTACAGAAACGTTTTCATGTAGTCTGTTTCGTATTCCGTTATTCTAGAAAAACTAAGAGCTTGAATTACTGTGTTTTAGAGCTAATATCACACACAAGTTCAAGTTATCGTTTTTAGTAAGGAGGTACAGCTTACTTGTTAACAAATGGCTTTATTTCTGTATATGCACCAAAAGCTTTTACTTACAAAAAACACAAAAAACTGAGCTTGAGTAACATACCTTGTACCAGTATTACTTAAAAAACACACAAAAATTGAGCTTGAGTAACATACCTCATACCAGCATTACTTAAAAAACACAGAAAATGAGTTTGAGTAACATACTCCACACCAGTATTACTTAAAAAACACAGAAAATGAGTTTGAGTAACATGCTCCACACCAGTATTATTTAAAAAACACAAAAAATGAGTTTGAGTAACATACCTAATACCAGTATTACTTAAAAAAAGCCACAGAAAATGAATTTGAGTAACATACCTAATACCAGCAATAATTTCTTCTCTTTGCCGTTTCATCTCCTCCTCTCCCTCGATCTTTCTAAATTTTAACTGTAACTCACCGTTTTACACCTTAAAACATGTGGCTCAGAATGGATTGATAGCATTTCTCAGGGTTGTATGGCGTTCATTTGTTAAGTCTTTTTAAAACATTTTAGCTAATTTTTGTGACATAACTGAAATGATATAGATGCTGATTATAATATAGAGGAATGATATAAAATGTTCTGGATCCATATTGGACCTCCCCACTATGTAAAAGTTCTATATTTATGTTATTCAGGAATAGTTAGGTTTGTTTAATGTAAGGCCATACTAAAATAAATCAATAGAAGGAATATTAATATTATTGAGCATATACTTTAAAATCCTGTTTTTGTTTGTGTTTTTTTTTATTTAAATGTCCGCAAGATGATGCTTTCTCCTTTCCTTGGTTGATTTCTTCTATAACCTAATGTTAAAAAACTGCTCATCGTGTTCTATGTTATAATTTTGCTAATTTCAAAATAAATTACAATAAAACAAATATCTTTATAATTCACGATTCTTTTCTATTGTATGAAAATGTTTCACTTGAGTACGGTGAAACACTCATTTTGAAGCGAGCGTTAGCATTATATACATTTATTTTTTTTTACAAATAAAGTATTAATTGTAATTCGCAGTAACATTTTATCTAACACATTAGTTTTCATTGGTAAAATGGCAAAGGTTAGTGTACTTTACTACAAACCATGCGGTATAAAAGTTTCGATTTTGAAACAACCTTAACCTTTAAGAGGAAACAATTTTTCTTGAGTCACTATCAGGAAGTTCTGATAACTTATAACTTATAGATTAAGAAGTAAGAAGTAAGTTATAAATGATTGAAGCTAATTCTGTATAATACGAACAAATTGATCGCTAAGTAAAAAAGCTATGTAAGGCTAGCTACTGAACTGGAAAAAAGGAACCAAACAAGACAGGGATGGAAGTGGACAGATCACTTGATCCTGCTAATGATCACATAGCAGACTAAGTCGTTTCGACTTTACATGGAGAATAAAATCCTTACATAGCTTTTTTATTTAGATATAAATGTTTTCCTAATACCTGTTTGTTAAATTTTTTATAAGATGCCGTACATGGGTTACTAGGTTATAGAGTGTATTCTAAAGCTTTATAAATTTTGCATACAATAATAACAAAATAGGTAGTCAAAGATCGTGAAGACCGTTTTGTTCTATCAAATGATAAAATTATAGTTATTGCTAGAACTAGGTAGGCGATAGGCTTGTTGAAGAAAGATGATGATGAATGAAAATATGAAATCTCGATTTTGGCTGCTCGCTGCTTTCGATTTTGGGACGCTCTGGATAGCTGAAAAGCGGTATATACACTGGAGGTACTATG